TAGATTTTAACTGCCCAAGTTACTAAAGTCCAGCATGGTTCTGACGTTCTTAGGATGCACAGCAACGTCTTGGATATTAGAGTACTTCTTGGCTTTGTCTATTAAAGTAAAGCCCTGGTGGGATGGGATTAGAGAATCCGTGCTTTTTATATTTAGCCTCAAATATCAGCGCCTGACAGGCATCAAGACATCACTGACCAAGTTTTCCTGTCTGTGTAAAATATAATATAGGCCAACCTGATTTGGACATGTTTCAAATGTATGTAATTGCTTCACATTTCATAAGGATTTGTTTATTTCATAAAACAGCATAGTTCTGTCTTTGATGTACATTCAAAGTCTTTGGGAACAGACCCACCAAAGGGCTCGAGGTACAAGAATTCATTCCAAGAATTCTCTGACAGTCTGAGATGGAGGGCAGGAAGAGGCTCTGGAGTAAGATTGCTGGGCATAATTTCCTAGAATTCCCCAAACACCCTCCCATTTTCTTGGCAGAGCTGTCTGCTTTTCCCCCCTTCCTCCTGCCTGCCTGTCTGAGTTATTATTACCTTTAAATAATAACAGTATGCTTCAAAAAAGCAAGACTACAAAAGCCAAGTCATTGCCTTAAACCACCATCAAAAAGCCAGCCCCAAAGAGAACTTTGTTACATCCCTAGTCAGGGAAAGAACAATTTTAAATTGCTTTTCAAAACACCTACAAAAACCATACAAGCAGCTACCTAACCTCATTTTCAACCAAATTTTAAATCGTAACTACATCAGAAATTCAGTGCAAATGTAAATCATACTAACATAGCAGTTTTCAAGCACGGCAGCCTTGACAGAGTATGAGGGGACAGGAATTTGAATCCATTTCTGGCGCGAGTGCAAAATGGCGTGCCATATCTGTAGGCAGTTTGGTATGGCCTGCCATGTCGCAAACGCATTTCATTCCCTGCTCCACTCTCAGGAACTCTGCACATGAACGTCATCTCACAAGCTTGCGTCCAGAGTACAGCTTTCAAGAGTCTTTATACAGAGTAGTTGCTCTAGCAGAAGTTTTACAATTTTATTTATTTTATGTGTATGAGTGTTGTCTGCTTTTATGTATGTGCATCACATATGTACTTGGTGCCCACAGAGGTCTGAAGCCATTGGATCCGCTGGACCCACCACCACCCCTTAGGTGCTAGGCACCTAACCCAGGTCCTCTGTAGAGTATCAAGTACTCTAAAGTGCTGAAGCATCACTCCATCAGCTGGAGTAGAATTTGAATCAGGTCCTGTTTTTGTCCATAAGGGTTAGGGGTGGGGAGAACAACCAGGATCGGTGAGGTGAGTTGGCAGTTAAGAGCTCAGGCTGTTCTTTCAAGGGACCTGAATTTGGGTCTAGTTTACCAGCTTAGTTGTCTTGCCAACCCTCATACTTCTAATTATAATCTAAGACTTTGCCTTAGGTTTTGCCAGAGTAGGTTTGTGTGTCTGTGTGCTCGCCTGGCATGTACAGCATCCTGGGTTTCAATCCCCAAAAAGAAAGAAGAGAGAACTAGCAGTAATAAAATTAGATTTTTTTTCTTTTTTAAATTTTATTATGTGAGTCTATGTTTGTGAACAGTCAGAGGACAGCTTGTAGGCGTAGGTTCTCCTTCCAGCTTTGGGGGACATGGGGATTGAACTCATGTTAACAGGCTTGGCTGCAGACACCTTTACTCACCAAGCCATCTTCTGAGTCATGACTCTAAAACAAAACAAAATTTTATTATTGAAATTTTCAAACATATGCAAAAGTGGAAGACCATAATAAAATTCTCAGTACTTGTTATTTTAACTTAACTATTTCCCCCTGGTTTTGTTTTTGCTATTGTTTTGATTTAGGTCTCTCTTACCTTTTTTTTTCTCTTGAAACATTTTATATTTTAAGAATGCATATTTTACAAAGGATGGGTTTAGGTCTCTTAACGTCTCATTTAATCTGGGAGCCCCACTGATGACAGTTCAAGTGGGCAGGAGGGTCTACACGGGGAGTTCAGAGCAGTCAGGGATACACAGACTTTCTCTCAAAAACAAGCTAATATCTTTGAGACATTTTCTAGCCAAGCTGTCATTGAACTCTCTAGGTAGCTAAAGATGACCTTAGACTTACGATTTTCCTGCCTCCTCTTCCAAGTGCTGGAACAACAGTCACAAATCACCACATCTGGTTTAAATAAGGTGTTTCCAAAAGCAAAAGGGGGGGGTTGTTGTTTGTTTGTTTTTGATTGGTTAGAGTGGAAAGTCCAAGTTAGACATTAATTGACAGTTTCTGATTGGGTAATATGCTATCAGGTTTTGATTTGCTTAAGGTTGGAGCCATCCAAGCTATGAACTTCTGACTAAATTTTGTTTATTTTAAATACCCATAGGGCTTGATATATCTGTAATAGCTACTGCTCAGAAACTGACTGCAGGGTTGGCCAGATGACTCAGCAGGTAAAGGCACTGGCTACTGATAAGCAATAACCAGAGATGATCTCCAGAACCCACATAATGGAATGAAAAAATTGTACCCTAAGGGTCTCACATACCTATGTGTACATATACACACAAAAGTAAATAAATAAATGTAATGATTATTTCTAAAGATAGACTGCCGGTGTACCCTTATGTCTTAACATGAAGTTTTTATTGTATGCTTTGAGTGTGGGCATGGCATGGGAAAAATCTCCAGTAGATCAGAGTTCAGTTTGTAGCCAAGGATGGTCTTGAACATCTGATTCTTGAACTTCCACATCTGAAGTGAGTACTAGGATTGCAGGTGTGCACCACCATACCTAACTAAAGATCAGAGGACTTAATAGACTTTCCTCTTCACTAGGAAGTACAGTCAGCATGCAGAAAGAGTGGAGTGTCTCCCATCTTTATAAAACTGCAATTTTTTTAAGTGATACACACACACACACACACACACACACACACACACCCCACAGCACATTTCAGGTAGAGGACAGTTCTCAGGAATCCATTCTCCTCTACTACCTTGGTATCAGTAACTCAATGAACGAACTCAAATCCTCATTGGGCCAGCATGCTCACTGAGCCATCTTGTCAGTCCATAAAAAATCCTTTTAAAAGATCTCTCCATCCTTCTTCCTCCATGCCATTCTGTTCTCCTTATTATACACACACACACACACACACACACACACACAGAGAGAGAGAGAGAGAGAGAGAGAGAGAGAGAGAAGGGGGGAGGGAGGAAGAGGGGGACGGAGAGAGAGACTCTTAGCTCTATTTTTCTTAACTTGAATTTCTTACCGATTCCTATTTGATATTCATCACTTCGTTAGAGCACTCTTTGTTGAGGTTACCACTCCGTGTGACACGGACAACATTGAGTAAATGTGACCTGCTCATCTTAACCAGTGATAGCTCTATAGAGTGCTGCTGTTTGCAGACGGGAAAATTACGTGTAAAGAGATTGAGTAGCCAGCCTCCAGTGACCACAGGATTAAAACTCAGCATAGTCTAACCCTGCTGCTTCATTAAAGTGACAGCTGTCCTTGACTTCTTCTCTTTCTCCATTTTGATTTTCTTTGCTGTGGTGTCTCCTAGCTGATGTTCAGATTTGGAGGGTTCTCAGGCCACCGTCATCTCTGGCCTTTTCTCACTGCGGTTAAGACACCTCGCACACACCTGTGGACTCACTTAGAGGAAGCGGATAAGCTTCTGCACTTGTACATCTTGCTGTCAGTGTACTCAAAACTTGGCTCTGACTCTCTCTCCCGCCTTTGTTTTGCTCTTTTTCTGAGTAGTACAACTCAGATACTCAGTAGAAACCTGGGAATCATCCCCAGGTTGCCCTCTCCTGGTTCCCACACTCAACCAGATCCTGTTTATTGTAGGTTATGTGTTTCATTCACCCCTTTCCACCCCATTCTTAGAGGGGGTCCGCCTTCTACCCTTACATGCCGTGTCTGTTCTTTCTCCTCTGCAGCATTGCCCACAATTGCATTCACTTAGGTTGAGGGGAAAAAGGGAAGAGGTCTCATTCCCCAAGTGGCTCACTCTCAGAATACCTGGCTCATTTGCATCATTAAATTGTCAGAATTAGTGTGCTGGGAATGTTGTTGAGTGATAGAGCATTTATTTCAAATGCTTAAAATGTTTTGAATTCAGCCCTCAACACAACAGAATCTTTATATGGTGGTGCACGCCTTTAGTCCCAACACTTGGGAGACAGAGGCAGAAGGATCTCTGAGTTTGACGCCAGCCTGATCTACAGTAGTGAGTTCCAGGACAGTCAGGGCTACATAGAGAGAACTCTTTTCACTGAATTTAAAAAAAAAAAAAGATGATGATGATGATGATGATAAAGATACTGTTCTGCCCAGGACTGGTAGTGTGAATGGTGAGTTCCTGGAGATGCTTTAAAATAAGATTTTTTTGTAGTTGATCATGGGAGCTAAGGCATTGATAGTGGGACTGGAGATGAAGGGTATGAAATTTCAGGGCTGCCATTCATCCAGTTCATAAGAGAAGCAGCCATCAGGAAGATGTCAGTTTCTTTAGGCAATTGAGTACGAAGTATAAGAAAGTAATTAGTTTTAGATCCTCCTTACCACATCCAGATGACAGTAATCAGTGGACCTTAGAAAACAAGAAAAGGAATCGAGGAGAGATGTGGTCTTTACCTCATCATTCATTCAAACCAACAAAGGACTATTGGTTATTCATTGTAAACACATAAAAGCATAAGCACTGAGATTTTTTTTATTGGAATAGGTTTAAGTTGGTAGTTAATGTTACAAACGTGTTATGTATGATCATACAGATGTGAAGTTTTTATACCATTATCTTTTAAGATCCTAGGAATGTTAGCTAACAATACCATGAAGCTCTCTGTGTGTCCGTGTGGTAAGCCAGCATATCTTGTTTTAATGGTTTGTGTTGCTAATGCTAACGTACATCTCTCTTAGTAAACACAGGGACTGTGAATTCCTTGAGCACCTGCAGCCTGTGTTAATATGTGTCCTCTCTATTTCTCTAGGGCCTACTCCCTGGTGGATTCCAGCCAAGTGTCGACATTTCTGATCTCCATTCTTCTGATAGTCTATGGTAGTTTCAGGTAAGATATTCTCCATGGGGTTGTTTTCATTGGCTCTGTGGAGAGAAAAGGCTTTTGCAAGGACTTTGAGTTCCAGTGGGTAATTCTAATATTTGTTCTTTGGTTGACTGCTGATAAACAATCATGTTTAACACATCAAACTTATGACTTTAGCATGTTAATGCAAATGTGGAAAAACTAATTGCTTAAAACTAGGTCTGCAGATAGTGAGTGACTCAGAAAAGTTGAGCTTGTTGGAAAGGCTATGAGGGGCGCTGACAGTGATTCTATACCACTGGGATCAAAAATTAAAAAGACAATTCAGAATACAAAAAAAGGTACATGCTGCAAAATAAATGATAGTCACTGTTATGTTTGTTTGTTTTCTCTAACTCCAAAGTGTAGTAGAAGGTATTTAATAGACAGAGGAGGATCAAGTACCGAGTGCAGCTGCTCACGGAGCTGGGAAAGTTCTCCTTGTCCTGCAGAACTGCTTCATGACTCGCGTCTTTACAGAGCTAGTTTTCCCTCACTACAGAAGCACTGTAGTGTCCCTACAAATTGCTAATAATAGACTTTTTGTTTAAACCATTTCATGTAACTCACCCTGTTACCCGAGGTGAGTGTGGTAAATTACCAAGTCTTCTCCCTCTTGCTTTTGGGAGTGCTGAGACTAGATCCTAATGACTACATACTCATCCTAGCACTCAGTCAGTGACTAGGACGAAAACATAAAGACACAGACAGATGTTCCCTTCTTAGACAATCTTCAGTTGAAGGAATTCTAGTGGCTGTGGAATTCAGATCATTGTGTGGCTGACACAACTAAAAATGAAGGCTGTGGCCTGGAGAGAATGGCTCAACAGCCAAGAGCACTCCCTGCTCTTCCGCTTGATCCTTTGGTTTCTAGCACCCGTTGTAAGTCCAGACCCTCTTCTGGTCTCTGAGGGCACCAGAGAGGTGTCATACTAGCTCTGACATGTATGGTATACACTCAGAAAGACACAACACACATACACATAAAATATGAAAATGAAAGTAAAGGCTGCTTGGGAAATTTAAGTTAAAATTTCATGAAACAGCAAAAATAATAAATATATCACTAAAAGGATTTTGAACTACCTAATGTTTCTGGATGTTGATACTTTGTGAAATCACAGACTTTCAGTTCTTTATTATAGCCATTGTAGAAGAAAGATGTATCACTATATACACACTGACTGAAGTTTTAACCACAAAGATGTCTTCAGAAGCCCTAAGTTCTTTTCTGGTTTGTTGACTTTTCTGTTTGGTGTTGTTGGTGGTAGTGTTTTGTCAACACAAGCTAAACTCCTCTGGGAAACAGGGAGCCTCTGTTAGATGACTCCTCCATCAGATTGGCCTGTAAGCAAGTCTGTGGGGCATATTCCTGATTAATCATTGATGTGGGAAGATACAGCCTTCCAGGGCAGTGCCACCCCTGGACAAGTAGTCCAAGTAGTCCTGGGTTGTACAAGAAAACAGCTGAACAAGCCATGGAGAGCCAGCTAGTGAGCAGCATTCCTCTTGTTTCTGCTTCAGAGTCCCTACCCTGATTCAGTGATAGACTGTGATCGGGGTTTGTGAGCCAGATAAATAAACCCTTACCTTCACTGAATCACTTTCAGGTGTGATGTTTCTCCAGCAGAGTAAAATAGGACACATTTCTATTTATGTATGTATTTACTTTGAGACAGAGTCTCTCTGTATAACACTGGCTGTCCTGGAACTCCCTCTTAGACCAGATGGCCTCAAACTCACAGAGATCTGCCTGCCTGCCTGCCTGCCTTTGCCTCTTTAAGTACAACCCAATTTAAGACTGTTTTGTTTGTTATTTGAGACAGGGTTTTTCTGTGTAGCCCTGAACTGTCCTGGAACTCCCTCTGTAGACTGTACTGTCCTTGAGCTTGCCTGAGATTAAAGGTGTGCACCACCCTCGCCCAGCTAGGATACAATTCTAAATCACTTTTAAGAAGCCATGGCAATTTAGAACCTTGCCAAAGTGATCAATATTATTCGTATTTTGTATTTTTACCCCTAATATTTTATCTTTTATTACCACTGATATGTAGCAACATTTAAAAAGACAATTTAAAACAAAAAGAGGCATCTTTAGAGTTACAACTCATACCACTTTTATTAGTGAAAATTACCTTTTCTTACACACACACACATACACATACAGAGTTGTGTACATTTAGAAAGTTCCTTTATGTACTGATACTTTTCACACAACATCCCAAGTTTCTGTAGTCATCATATTAGTGTTTAATAATTTAATATTTCTTCATGCTCTGTTTTTGTTAGACATGTGAGCTGTGAACATTTTTGTATTTTTTTTTCACCTTTGGTTGAACTCTATTATTAAGATAAACATTTAGGGCCAGTTAAAGTTACACCAAATAAAGGCACTTGTTACACCAGCCCAGAAATCCAAGTCAGATCCTGTAGACACAAGTTTCTGTCCCACCTAGTTCTAGTCCCGCAGTCTTTCAGTGCCAGAGAAACACACAGAGGCTTATATTAATTAGAAACCATTTGGCCTCTTAGCTCAGGCTTATTATAAACTAGCTCTTACAACTTAAATTAATCCATAATTCTTGTCTATGTTTAGCCATGTGGCTTGGTACCTTTTCTCAGTAAGGTATTCTCATCTTACTACTTCTACATCTGGCTGGTGACTGCATCTCTGCCTTTTCCTCTTCCCAGAATTCTCCTAGTCTGGTTGCCCCACCTATACTTCCTGCCTGACTACTAGTTAGTCAGTGTTTTATTAAACCAACATAAGTGGCATATCTTTACAGTGTACTGGTGTGGGAGGTCCTTCTGTCTATGTGTTGCTCTCATTGGTTAATGAATAAAGAAACTGCCCTGGCCTGTTCATAGGGCAGAACTTAGGTAGGCGGGGAAAGCTAAATGGCATGCTGGAAGAGAGAGGAGGCAGAGTCAGAGGAGAGATGTCATGGATCCCCTGCCTGAGACAGATGCTGGTTAGAATCTTTGTTGGTAAGCCATGTGGCGATATACAGATTAATAGAAATGGGTTAAATTAATATGTAAGAGTTACTCAATAAAATGCTAGAGCTAATGGGCCAAGCAGTGTTTTAATGAATACAATTTCTGCGTGGTTATTTTGGGGCTAAGCTAGCCAGGCGGCTGGGTCAAACAAACAGACCTTTCCCCTACAGTGTACAAAAGCATTATCCCACAGCAAGATCCCTTGAATCCATGTAAAAGGAAGGAAAGAACCAACTATGCAGAGTTGTTCTCTGACCTCCACATGTACCATGGCACACATGCCTATATATACATCATGCATGCACTCCCCCTCGTGTGTGAAATATATTTGTTTTAAAGATAAACATTTAAAAGTTGAAATACATGAACTGTCTCTTCCTACTACATGTTGCCGTATTATTTCCAGAAAATTGCACCAGTTCAAGATTGGGCAAATCTTAGCATTGTGTTAAAGAGAGTAACAAAATTGTTGTATACGTGTCAGGGATCTCTTTGGTGAACCTCCTGGTTTACAGTGAGAAGACTGTAGCACTGCTTGTGTGCCTGGGAGATCAGAAGACATCAGAGCTACAGATAGATGTGAACCTTCATATGGGTGCTGGGAGCTGAACTTGGGTTCTGTGCAAGAGCAACAAGTGCTTTTAACATCTGAGATATCTCTCCTGCCCATTTTGTTTCTTTGTTTGACAAGGTCTCACTATGCTGTGCCCTGGCTGTCCTGGAATTTGCTGTGTAGACCAGACTGCTCTTGAACTCAAAGAGCTCCAACTTCCCAATCCATAATAACTACTCATCTCCCTAGAGGTGCCTGCTCAGGACACCCCAGCCGAGGTTTCTTAGGATGTGACCCCTTGTCGTTGTCTGCTTTCATTGCTGTGTTTTTAATGACATCCGTACCTTTTAGTGTATTTCACTTCTTTGTGTTGCTGAGTAACTTTTCTGACTGTCTGTGCTGCTACTATTTTGGCTGTTATGAATAACGATGTGGTGAATGCTTATGTATAAGTAAGTGTTGATGTGAGCGTGCGTTTTTATTTCTTGTCAGTAGCAGAAATATTAGATGATATAGTAATTCTTTGATTTAACATTTTAAGAATTGCCACTGTTTTCCAAGGCATCTGTACCACTTTACGTTCTCACCAGCATTGTATTAGTTTCTTCACATTTTCACCAACAGTTCTCTAATGTTAGTGTTTTCTTCATCTTTACTAGCATGTATCAATTACATATCATAGACTTCCACTATCTGATTTCCGTACCTGTATGTCAGTATTTTCGCCTTAGTCCATACAAGCACATTACTCTCTTATTCCCCTTCCTTTTGACTCTATTCTTCTTCCCAAATAGTCCTTTTCTGCTTGCATGTTTTCTTCTTTATGTTATTACTGTTCAGTCTAGACTCAGCATGTAAAAGGAAATATGATTTTTATCTTTCTCAGCCAGGTTAATTATACTTAATAATGATGAATTCCACTATTACCTATTTTCCTGCAAATGGTATAATTTCATTTCCTTTATGGCTAAATTTGTGTGTGTGTGTGTGTGTGTAAACTCCGTTGGTTCATTAAAAAACATCAAAGGAAATGCATGACTTGCCTATTGCCACACATTGGTGTGGGGTATCTCTGTTGCCTGCTGACTTAGCTTCCTTTGATTCTGTAACTAGTGATTATCAGGATCTTACTGCAGTTTCTTTCTTTCTTTCTTTCTTTTTTTTAAAGAACCTGCACCCCGATTTCCATGGTATTGGAACTAATTTACATTCCCACCAGTTGGGTGCACATAATGTGTTCCTTTTTCCACCTGTGTCCTTACCAGCATTTGGGCTTATATATGTTGTTTGTTTCTTGATGGTAGCCACTCTGGGTTAGGATGGAACCTCAGCATCATTTAGTACCGACTGTCATTCTTCTGTGATCCTATGGGCATAAAGTGGTACCTCATAGCTTTGGCTTGCATTTTCTTAGTGACTTACTGTTTCCCCC